CTCCACATCATTGCATTCAGTTTTTATTCACAATTTGTTTAGTGTCCCAAATTTTTTGGAATCCGGTTTGTAAATTAAGTGCTTTTATACTTTTAGAAAGCTTGAAAAATTACAGATCAAGACCAAGTTTAAAGATTATAAAATAGTTTGGCACTTTAAAAACAAAATATAAACTGTAAAATATATATAAGTGTACAAGATGTTTGCATATTAACGTAATGATGGCAAACAGTTGTTAATAAATGGTCACCTACATGTAATTGTGGTCAGTTAAACAAACATCTCTGTGATAGTCACAAAAATTAAACTTTACCTTATTTTGGGTGAAAAACAAAAGAATGTACCTTAACAAAGCTCATGCGGATGGTGCACATCTTGGTGAGCTCATAAACAGCCTCAAAGCCATGGTTGACTGATTGTGCCAGCAACTCGGCAAACTCCTGGTTGTTGAAAATCTTCAGGCTACATTTGCTGGGAATCTTACAGACAGTTGTGGGATGGAAGCCGTGGTGGTAGTTACAGTTACGGCTCTGGACGAAGATGCTGCTGTCGCTCAGACACTCTGCATACACCTCCCCTCCAACGTAATACAAGTGGACACCTAAGAAACAACAGAAAAATAACTAGAGAAATTGCATTTCCTGTGAAAATGCAGTGTGAATGCTTACTGCTGAAGAACTTAATGAAAAACAGCTGACATTAGCTAAAAACATGCTGAAATGTAGCTGAAATGGAAGAACAAGCCTAAGGTAGCAGAAGAAAGAAGGAAGAATACATATTTGTTGAAGTAGGGTAAAAAAAAAAAAAGCAGAAATGAGCACAAAAATGAGTTAATTAGCTAAAAAAATAAAGCTGAAATTAGCAACAACAGAAAAAGAAAAGATAAGCTGAAAAGTAGCTGAGAAGTCAGAAAGAAGCTTAAATGACCGGAAGGAAGTGGAGAGAGCACAATTGTGCCTAATTAGCCTTAAAGAAGCAGAAATTAGCACAAACAAATGTGGAAATTATCAGAAAAAAGTAGAAACTGGGAAAAAACAAAACAGCTGAATAGTAGCTAAAATGGCAGAAAGAAGTTTAAATTACCAGAAGCAAGTGGAGAGAGCACATTTTTGCAAAATTGGACAGCAAAAAGTGGAAATGAGTGTAAAAAATGTGGAGTTAGCTGAAAAAGCTAAATTTAGCATAAAACAGCTGCTTTATGTAGCTGTTCTAGAATTGCGCCGCTCAAGGTGGCTGCATGTTGGAGCAGCTCTGTTACTTTCATTCTGAGATTTTGCTTTTGGAAACTTTAATTCCTCTTTTTCTGGATGTAAATCACATGTTTTTTGGATGATTGTTTCCTCTGGTATCAGATGCTGTGCAGCTGGAAGGATCTTTACTGAACTTTTTTAGTTTTGGACATTTGTTATGATGCGTAACCATGGCAACAAGACAGTTTTCTACAACCAACAGCAGCTGATTAACATCTCAAAAGCTCAAATAATATCTCAACTATAGCCCCAAATCTCAAATGAGTTGAAAGGAGTTGTGGACACATTCTCATCCACCTGCCAGCTGTGCTCGAGTGCCTGACCACTGAGATCTGGAACTAGGAGGAAACACGGCTCATGACAGTGGAAGGACAGGATCGTCCCTCAGCACCTACAGTTGGCTGTCCGCAGCGACGAGGAGCTCGGCAGACTGCTGGGAGGAGTGGCCATCGCTCAAGGAGGAGTTCTGCCCGGCATTCAGACAGTCCTACAGCCCGCGGGAACCGAGAGGCCAGCCGAGTCTGGGTGGACGGATCAGACGGCATCTGCAGCCAGTTTTTTAGGATCCACTGTGGGATGGACCTTTACAAGAGATCCTTCCTGCCTACAGTTATCAGTAACTATAATATCTCTTAATGAAATGAGGATAACGAGTTACAACAACAAAATAATTTCCCTTTGGGATTAATAAAGTAGTATTGAATTCAATTGAAATAGCTGAAACTTACAGAAATAAGCTGAAAGGAGCAAAACAAGCTAAAATTAGCAGAAGCACAAAAAATGTAGTTAGCAGAAAGAAGCTGAGATAAGCAAAAAACAGCTGAAAAAACAGCTGAAAGTAGCTTAAAAAAGTTTAAATTTGCACAAGGAAGCTGAAAGACGCTGAACCAGAACAAAATGTGAAAGGAGCAGTAAAAAGTTGTAAACAGATCTTCAAGATATCCTGATGCATGCTCAACCTTCAAGATCTTGAAGGATGTAAACTGAGCTCAATTCATTTTCTATGAGAAAAAAGTGGCAGAAAAGGCCAAATATTTCAAAAAGCTAAAGTTGCACCAATACCAAAAGTCATAGCAGGATTGTCCTGAAAGAGCTGAATGTTTTGATAGATGATTTGTACACATGCACAATAGCACAAAAATTGTGGCATGAGATAGATGTAAAAAAAAAAAGTACGTAATAGAGATAGTAACTATAAGAATAAACAGGATCACAATAGTGTGAATGCTTAATGAGCATACACACAATAATACTCAGCTTTGGTTGTATTACAAATACTTTCAAAGTATGTGTTTGGTAAACCTAAAATCAATGCCAACAATTGATTAGTTATTGTTTTGTTCCAGACTGGATCCCAGTCCTCACAGAGAAGATTAATTGATTTAGTCTCTTTACTGATGATGGGTAAATTGCTGATATTGACAAGTTTGTCTCGGTGTTTCACCTTTGCCGATGTGCCGCCGGGTGTTCTCAATCGTAGAGTTGCGGTTGACGTTGGAAAGCAGGCCGAGGCAGAATCGGCTACAGTTGTTGGAGGGATCTGTGAAGCCATCAACAAGCACGCTGGTGGAGGAAGCCTGAAACGCCTCCCCGACACGATTGTTGAGCTCGTAGTAAACAATAGAGCACCAGTGCTTCGGCTCCTTGTAAGCCACGGCCTGCACATCTGCACAGGAAACGCATTAACAGGTCAAAGGTGCGAGCCGAGCACACAAAACAAGCCGAAATAAAAGTCAGGATTCTTCTGTGCTGCCAAGAGTTACTAATGCAAGGTCATTTCTACATTTTGCTTATCTATACAATTAACTCCTTTATACACTCCATAATCCATAAAAATATGGATTCAAGTCCCAAAGCTTTCGTTTTATTTTAGTTTAAGATTGAATAAAATCCATGTGGATGCATATTAACCACAGTTTGATGCCTGTCTGCAAGCCTTTATTATTTTAATCCAGTCCAAGTCCAGCCTCAGCCCGTGGAGGGAAGAATAAATCATGTTTATCTAAGCACATGCCTCTCCCAAACTTCCTGTGGAGCATGGCACTGGCTGGCAGGTGTGTTTTGTCTGTCCCCTTCCCAGAGCTGTTCCACAATAGAAATCTGCTCCACATTACAGGATGCAGCTTGTGTGAGAGAAAAAAAAACATCCCCCCAACTACCACTTCAAGCTAAGGAAACTTTCAACAGCTCTTCCCGCAACTGCTACGTTCAGACGAGGGCAGACTCCATGAGCTTTAAAGTGCATAATCATATGAAAGAAAACACAAAACAACTTCTTGGGTACAGATGGAAGTTTAGATAAA